GCAGCAATATTACATTTTAAGCACTTAAATGCTCCAACAGTGATGACATTCTGCATGTAAAGGACGCAATGTGACTTCTATTCAAATGCATGAAATCATGATCTGAGTTAAAGGGTGAAGGAAGTAACTCTCAAATAAATTATTCTCACAGTTAAGCATTCTGGATACAACAAGTTGTCTCAGTAAAATAGAGCCTCGCTGTTTGAAACAGGAAGAGATGATAACTGTTATTATTTTCCAACCAAATTGGCAGTTAAGATAGGCACTTCATGCAAAGTCATTCATGGAAAAAAAGAACTGTGGGGAACAAGCAACAGATACAAAAAAAGCCAAATATTTTGTGTGTTAAGTGTTTTAGCTTTTTAGTCCCTCTCAGTAGTCAGAAATAGAGTGCTTTCTTCAGAGCGGCATTTTTTTTCTTATTTATTCTATTATTTGTGTTAAGTTGTGCCATCTTGATCCTCTCTTCCCCGCTTTGCCTGAGGAAAGGCTCATTGGCCAGACACGTCACATTAAAGAGCAGCGTCTCACTGAGCATGTCACAACCTGCCCAGGGGGGGTGTGAGTGTGTTTATGTTTTATCCTCAGGACCCCCGATTGTTGTTCATTTCCTGTACCAAGATTAAATAAGCACATAGGCCAAAATGTGCTCTTCCTCGGCCCTCACCCACATCACGGCACTTTTCCGCACAAGTGGCTGGCTACGGATAATTATACAATTAAAACAATTCTCCGCATCTATCTGTCAGCCTGATCTAATTCACCAAAGGAATGACACTAATGGAGTTTGTTCTGTCTCTCCTTCCTCAAGCAAAGCCTTTTTCCCCTCACAACACAGCTCAGAGAAGGAAAACGGAGAGAGTTGTGTTTGTTTAGCAAGATGTTGGTGGATAAAGTTGAGACGCGGCAGTTATTTTTATTACGACCCGCAGTTCAGCAGGGAAATGGGGAGGTTCATTTGATTGTTGGTTCAAATTAACCCTGGGGTGAGGAGAAAAGGAGAACCGGAGTGACCCTCTTATTTTCTGAGACAATACCCGCTTCAACCGAGGCCGACATTAATAATTCATCGTGACAAAATGCATTACATGTGAAGCTCGATGTGAAAGGAAGAGTTGACAGAAAAACAGTCACATTAGGGCCGCCGTATAGCGTGTACTTGGGATCAGACCATGCTGATAGGCAAGCCTACATTAAGTTAGCCGGGGGCTGAGGCAAATGTTCGTAGTGGACAAACGGTGGTACGACAACTTCAATGAGAGACCGTGTCATCATTTAGGCCCAAAAAGATGTAACGGAGCAGATTGGAGGCAGGATTTAAAAAGGGCGTTATTCTGCTTTTTGGGTTTTTCCCTTGCCTTTTGTTTGTTATGTAGGTTTCGGTGTTTGTAAATGGTCTGCAAAGGCTAAAATCAAAATTTCCCTCCAACGGGAGTTTCCCCCTGCCTGAAACGCCTCCATTGGACTCCTTTGTTCATTTAAAAGTAGCATAATGACATGATTAGGTAACACGAGCACTTCTATTAGCTAACGTCCCAACACTTTGTACATGATAAGCTTAGGGGCGGGACATATCTAAGCAATTGACCAATCACAACAGAGCCGGACAGCTAACCAATCAGAGCTTAAAGCTTGGTAGCAGCAAGTAAAACATGTAATCTTACTGTTTAAATGAACATGCATTCATATTGAATTTTAAAGGTCCCATGTCATGCTTTTCTAGTTATTACCCGTCCCCTTGTGTGTTATGGAGGTTTTTATGCATGTAAACGGTCTGCAGAGTCAAAACCCTCCAAGTACACCCTGTAGCGAGTAAAACTCTAACACAGAAAATACCTCCCCAAAACGCCTCGTTGGAGATACGTCACTGTCCATTGATTCTTCCGGGTACCGCATGATGTCAACCGTACCCGGAACCAAATGGACCAATCCGTGGAGCCGTTACGTTACGTCCGTGGAGCCGTTACGTTAAGCCCCCGCTGATTGGTCCAAATTGACCAATCCACGGACTTCCTCACACACACACTCAGTGCAGGCAGCTCTGCTGATCTCTCCTCCCTGGCTGCAGGCTTATAACAGACAGTTGGGATCGCGGCGAAATTCTCTCTGCAGACCCATTCTCACAGCGTTTATCAACCTTTTTCTTACTCAATATCAAGCCACACTTATTGTTTTTACTTCGGCTGTGACTTTGTGTGTGCTCAGGGTGAGTTTGGTTGTGTTTCGCTGTGTATCGCTAAACAAGGAAACAACACCTCCACGGAGCTCAGCGCGATTCACAACGTCCCGACCAATCAGAGCACACTGTGCTCACAGGGAGGGTGGGGGCTGGAGCTACTGGAGCTACAACGAGCCGTTAAAGGCAGAGAGTGAAATTCAGTGAATACACGTAGTTTACAGAGATGCTGTATGAGAAACCAATGTGATTTTGGAAAATTGCACAATATAAATCTATCCTAGTAGACCTCAACAATGGAATTATGATCAGTGGAAATGGCCATGACATGTCTCCTTTAAGTGAACTCTTAATCAACATAAGTGGACAATATGTTTAATGTTTTTGTCATACTGATTCCCTGAGTTATACGTTCACCACTGACTGTTGATGAACCATTTTATTTTGGATTGAGGGCTCCAAGTTTCCATATAGAGATATAGGATGATTTAATGTATTGTTCTTTATTTTTAAATGTTTTGTATCATTGCTATCCTGTTAATGAGCCCTGTTTACATAAATGTACCTGTTATCTGATTGTTTATTGTTTTTGCTTCTGTGACTGTTAGGGAAGTAGGACTGCACGATATATCATGTCTTGACGATAATTGCGTTATGCGCATGCGCGTTATTCAAATCACAGCAAT